AAAGTAGAATGTTTTTCCTATAGCAAGTGAGAGCTATTTAGCTGTATGAACCATCATGTTGAACCCACGTGTGGATTGATTGATTGTATATTGTTTAACGTACCTCTCGAGAATTTTTTCACTCATATGGAGACGTCACCGTATGCCGGTGAAGGGCTTCAAATTTAGACCTATACTCGGCACTCAGGGCCATTGAGCAGTGAGGTTTCTTTATCGTGCCAGCTATTACCGTGACACGGGACCTCCGTTTTTAAGGTCATATCCGAAAGACCCGTGACTTTCACTTTTAATGCCAAGCGCTTGGCGAAGGAACAGTAACTACCTATTTTTACGTCTTAGGTTTGACGCGGCGCCGCGAACGAGAATCTAACCCGGGCCTCCCGATCACGAAGCGAACGCTCTTCCACTTGGCTGCCGTGAACGGTAACCTACGTGTGGAATAAATTATTTGAAATACTGATAGTCACGCGAGTTCTACCCAGGTAAACATTCCTCAAAGGAGCTCACTGTAAAACATAGGCAAGTCAGTTTTGCATCATTAAGTCAGTCGTGCCGCTGAGAGATATCTGTATGTATTTGTTTTTAAGAACACAGGAGGGTAAAGAGAGTTTAGTGCCATTCTTAAAAGTGTCAAACATTTTTAAGATTCATGCAAGACAATGAAACAGGTATTGCATAAAAGCCACTAAACACTCCTTTTTTATCTCAAAATTCAATGAATCTATTACTGTATTTTTTTTTTCAAATGCAAGAGACTCAGTGCCAATTTCTTAGATTGATCATAATGACTACAGTCAACTACACAACTTCAATCAATTTTAAAAACAGATTTGGCTCAAGAAGTAACATTCCGCAATCGCGCCCGACTTTGATCCACAAAACTCAAAAAAAAAGGTTTGGTACGATTTTTCCGGATTTAGGGTATCCATGGGCATTTAAAAATATTCAATGGTTTCAAATCCATGCTGATTTAGGTGATGATTAACGTGCTTTTTAATTAGAAACATCCACTAGTATCTAAACTATTATCCAAAGAAAACGATTTGGTAATATATTTTAAAGTAAAACGGTACATAAAAAGGGCCCATTAAGTATTGCTTATGTGCACTTGTTCATTGTATCTAAACTACCTGTGGAATCAGTGCTTAATCATTGCTCTCCATAGAATAAGAATTAAAAAGGTTCTGATATATATTCCTGAACAAAATTTTAATCTAAACATGGAAAGATTTTTCAAGATTTTCCTGTGTATCCCTATATATATACAGCTGTAGGATGACTGCACTATACGCTGTGCTTTGGGTCGTTTCGGTCACTTCTGTTGTGTTTAAATCTGAATATAATTTCTTTTTTATACATTTATTACAAAGGTCTGTCAATTAGACACCCAATTGAAATGTTAAAAACAATTTTAGACTGTAATACAAAAACTTATCTTATGTTTTTTGTCCTTGTGGTTTTCCAAATACGGTTCATTTGCAAGGGCATGCCCATATGCGTGGAGAATTTCTAAAATTACGTAAAATATTGATAAACAAGTTGAAGAAATAAGAATATCAGCAGTCTCGTTTTAAAGTAATCATTTCGCAAGTCCAATGGTCGATACAATGATATGCACATATAATCCATTAATAAGTTAAATCAGAATTATACTTTACTTACTAATCTTTAAGCCATTATCTACACACTGAATTGTCTACAGATTTTACCAGGGATTTTCTCGATCATGACAAAGAGAAGCGAGTTTGACTGGTCGGCACAGATGCTTACTCTTTCATGGCACCTGATCCAACCTCTTAGGTTAAAGAGTGTGGGGCGTGGAGACCTACCCTTTGGAAGAAACCTTTTAACCCAGGTTCCAAGTCGCAATAGATTCTGGCAAAGAAGATCCCTCGCTACACAATGTCTCTGAGTGCCGAATGAAGGTCAAAATTTGCAGCTCTCTACCGGCAAGTGATGGTTTAGATCCATATTATTGAAACAGCTCGATAGAGACTTAAACAGAAAACAAACTAACAAAAAAAAAAAAAAAAAAAAAAACCAAGAGACAATTGTGGCCCCCCGCTTTTGGTGTCTTAGTTGGTGATATGACATTATTTATGGCATATTGTGTCAAATATGAACACTTAACATTTGTCATTAAAAGATTTTTTTTTGCTAAAACTGATCACACATGAAGGTCAAGTCAAGGGTCAATGACCATACACTATTCGGAAACATCTTTTAAGGTTACATATGTGCGCATGTCAAGTATTACATCCCTCCTTTTTCTAAATTAAAAGTTAAAAGAAAAAAAATAACATTTTTTTTTAAAGTAGGCCATACTTCATGGTCAAGATTACTTGGTAAGAAAACATTTTATACATGTACTGTATTTATAAATGTCGTAGGTAATAAATATGTCTAAAATGAAATCCATATCATTTCTATTTCAATAGTTATAATAAATGGTGAAAAATTAAAAAAAAAGGTTTAACTTCAAGGTCAAGGTCAAAGGGTCAAATCTCTTAGATTTTTGTTTTAATGGTCACAGGTAACGTACTTGTTAATGGACTTTTACGAGAAGCACTGACTTTTACAGTCGACTGTTGATTTGGACATTTAAATATTCACATCTAAGGAGGTATAGAATTGATAATGAAAAAAAAAACCTTTCTAGTGGTAAAGGTAATGGTGTTAAGGGCACTTGTATGTGAATGCCCGGATTTGAGGGCAGGATGGCTTTCGTTTTCTTCAAGGACAGCTTATCTGTGCTTTGAAATAGCCCATTATATCTGTTGAATTAAATGTTGAGCTTAATTATGATATTAAAGAGCTTCCGTAAACTGTCCTAGTGTGAAAATAATTCGTCAACCGTAAAAGGCAGCGCTTCTCGTAAAAGTCCCACTTTTCCAATGATTTTTATTCATTATGTAAATAAAACTAATTAAAAAACTTAAAATAATTATGAATTATTATGTTCACGTATACATGTACATAAAAATTAATTATGCAAGATCAACGTTTTCCCCGGAATTGTTTCGATTAAAGACTATTTCCGACAAGAGTTATGCGTTTTACATAGTACATTTTACCAAAACGTACGAAATATACTAATAGGGAAAAGAATCATAGGTGAACTTTTGAAGTGTTTAAATGCTACATGTATGTGTTAAATGCTAAGTTTTTTTTCAGCATTTATTGTTTCACAATGAAATATATAGGGACAACGAACAATATTCAAGCTCAAAAGTCCAATAAACAATACAAAAGAGAAGCAGAGCAAACACAGATCATCAGAGGTGGGATCAGGTGCAATGGGGGAGTGAGCATCCCCTGCCGACCGGTCACACCCGCCGTGTACTCCTCATCATGATAGAAAAATTGCAAAAACGTCCGTCGTCAATTAAATGCATACATAATGGACTAATAATTAATGTGAATTCATCAGTCAGCATTAACTCAGTGAAAAATTGCATTTGCTGACAAGGCCATGGTTTTGACCGTAGAACTTACGAAATGATTACTTTAAACAAAACAAGATATATTCTTGTTTCATTACCTTGTTTGACAATAATTTACCTCGTTTAAGAAATTGTACGTACATAAAGCATGCTCTTGCGTATCAAATCAACTGAGAGATACAAACTCCATATGCAGGTTATGAAGACATAATGCTGCATAGGTAAGAGAAGTTCAAAATTTAAACCATCTTTCATCATCAATTTACCAAAATATCTATTGATTTTGACTTGAAATGCACAAAGTATTAAAATTCATATTATTGTTCCCCCAAAAATAAAATAAAAACTTGCAAATATAATTTGTGCGTCTCTCAAAATATTGAATCTCCTCTACATGGACCTCTTCAGTCCTCAGACCCTAACATCCAATTAGTCCCACAGATTTTCGACTGGAAAAAAAGTCGTCTATCTAACATTTTATTCTATGAATGATGTAAATGTATCGGTTATTTGTAATGTCAAAATGGCTTATTGACCGTTAGAAAAATTATTCATTAGCTTAAATATCGGTGTTATTAATTTCCCTTTACTTTTTTTAAATTGGTTCTATCAAGATAATCTAAATATTTTCTATTCTGATATAAAATATTGACTCAGCTAATTGAAAATAATTCAGCACTACATAAAAGCTTTATTATGATTATACTCTTCATTGGCTATTGAAATACAATTTGTTTGAATTTCTTATTAATAGATACAGCAGGAATTATATAAATTGATATTTGTAAATTAACAAAAGAGTGTCCTACATAAGCCACTGATGCCCTACATTTATCATCTCTGATTAAAGTACCCTAACAAGATGCGCATTTGCAAAAATGTCACAACCAAGATACAACTTATATGCAATAATCATGTATTATACTTATTACATTTGAAAAAAGGTTACATAACCTTTGATTGTGTTACACATATTAATATTATCAAAAGTGCATTTTAATTCCAAAGCATACTGTTTAAGACTCAGTGAAGTCCAAATAAACAGGAAAGAAAGAATATGTACCCCCTATGCTTCTATAAGAGTATACTGGCAAAGTGCATTTGATACAAGAAACCTCCATTTTTAATCTTCTCAGAACATAAAACTGGAGCTGCAAAATGGACCCCCCCCCCCAAAAAAAAAAAAAAAAAAAAAAAAAAAAAAACAAAGTGAGACCTATATACAATGGAACTTTGTTATAACGATTCTATGAAGGCCTCATTTAATGTTTTTCAGTGGCATAGGGGTAGTTGTGGATAACAAATGGGTACCCCAATATTTAGTAGCAAATAGTCACTTCAATATTTTGCTATGACTATCCATATTTAACTTCCTTATCACAAAATTACTGAAAATGGTAAAATAATAAAGTTTCTGTATAAGTCTGATTAAATTTCATTCAGTGGTATGGAGATGAAAGATTAAATGTATATAGATCTCCAAGTGTAACAAACGTTCTGACGACCATCCTATGGTATTTATGATTTTTCAGACGGTGGTAATATACATGTACGGAAGAAGCAGAATGTTATTAGAGAGAGCCTAGATAATTTGAAAACGTTGTTCACACAGGAATCCTGACTTTGACGTGCAGTCAACATCGTTGTTATAGCCATTCCCAAGTAATATCATGCAATCTTCGAAGTGTTTGCAGCAAAGAGCAGGTTCACCGATATGCCATTGTATGTATAAAGGCCTTCCGTCACTGAGACGCCAGTCGTCTTCAGCAATTTCGTCACTTCCGTCAATAAAGAAAAGGAGTCCTGAAAATTTTTCTTTGTTATCATTGCTAGATTCCTGTACAGTTGCTGATTCTGTGTGCATGGTTTGCATGAATAGACTTAATAATAAACAATTTTGATTTAGATTCGTATGCAGGGATGTAAAAAACAAATATCAATCAATTTTTATCTCTTTGTATATCATCCTATTTCATAGTAATGTAAAAGAAAATGGCGTAGGACTTACCTGCACTTCCGGTAATGCTTTGCATAAATTGTATCACTGCATAATGTTTCGCTACTGAATCAATCTGTACAAGGAATCCATTATCCTTTTTACATTCTTCCTCTGCATCTTTCTTGTTTTTTTGGTCGTGGTGTGCCTTGAAACAGGTATCCGGAACAAAGGGCGATTCTTCATATCCCACAGAGCACTTAGGAATATCTGAAAGTAGAAGTGGTTTGTTCTTGCTATAATTATTTTTGGCTAGTGTGAAGGGTCAATGCCTTTGATCAATATCTTATGTTCCAATGCACGTCATTTATTATCCAAAACTAAATGAAGGCTAGTTTTATTCATTTATTGATAAGAAATAAATGACTCATTCAATCAAATTAAACCGTCAATTTTTCTATTTAAATACATCATTCAGAAACAAATTTTGCGATTTTTTAAATAGTATGCCCTAATCAATTAGTAAAAAAAAAATTTCCTCTTTGATCTAATTTTACTCCACCGAGTTAAATTTTTAGTAAAAGGAAAAACGGTATGAACTTGCTTATGTACAACTTTAAAAACTTTCAATAGATGTTCTATAGGCATCATTATCAAGAAATAGGTACTTACCCTGTGTATAAGCTATTAAGTTTGTTGAAAGATAAGATTTTGATGGATCATTCAGGGAGATTCCTCGTGACAGCAAATAACATTGATTGGAATCCGAATCGAAAACTAACGAAGCACAATATTTATTTGTTAAGCAGGAAGCAGAGCATTTTATCACAGAGACTACTTTCTTGGTCTCAATCGCAAAAGAAACAAGTTCGTTGTAGTCGCCACGAGTTGCTCGGTGTAAAGTAAAATGTTGAAATTCCCTGCCATTACCTCCCATTAGTCGGAAAAGTACTACAATGTAAAATTTATGCACTTAAATACAATTTATGGAATACTGTATTACACTGTATATGATCCAGTATAAAGTTTCTGACATATGCTGAAATTTAAGTCCATATACATATGCTTAATTTATGTGATGCTTTAATTAATTTAAACATTTCTTTTAACTAAAAATAAGACTAGAGACAATGTGTTTTTTAAAGTTATATGTAACAGGTAATGAGCATTTTTATTATAGGTCAACATTTGAGAGATACTCACTCATACATAAAAATGTAATCCAAGACATATTTTTACTCTTTAATTAATTTTGAACATTTGATCAGTGATTTGTAAATTCAATACTATTGTCCAGTGCTAAATATTGGTATCTCATTGCTGGGGATAATTGAAGTACACTATGTCTAATTGACCCTATGGTCTGTTTGCGTTCCCAATCAATTTTAATTAATCAATCATGTTGTCAGGGGATCTATTGTATGGATGGACTTGTAGGTACCATTTTTAATCATAATCATCTTGATTTATTTTACTTGTTGATGTTTATAATTAATAGTTCCTTAAAGCTTTAGTATGATAACGTATATCGCTAGAGTATGAAGAATTTGTGGGTTCCTAATTACCTTGAACATTTTGTACATGTACATAAATCAGCCCCCTCATGTAAATTTCAATAGTCCCCGCCCACTGACGTCAGACACAAATACAGCCGCACGAGATTGACATGCAGGGAAGGCCACTGTATTTTCACTTGACGAAATTAACATTCCGGTAAAATTATCACGAAATCAACTCACCTAACTTTTATAGATTATCATAGACAAAACAATAACAAATGAAAATGTATGGAATTATGAAGAAAGAAAGGGGAGAACATATTTTGGCTGTACATAAAATATTATAGAGTACAGATCCGTAAGCTGTTTTAATTCGTTTGGGTTTCGGTAATGATGACCACATTTCTCTAGATTTTAAAGCACTATATAAATAAAATATGGCAATATATTAACTTTAAAATATATTTGATATTTTATTACCTTTTAAGAAATATCAATTAAAAATTAAAACTCTATGTTTTGAAAACAAATTTATAATGAACGACAGGATGTGAAACATATCATGTTTATTCTACCTTAGATATAAAATTGAATGAATCGAGCTTTCTTTTCTAATTTATTTTTTTGTCATTTTTAAGCGTTGTAAAATTAAACAGGATATTACTATGCCGTATGGAGGTGAAATATCAGTTCAATAAAAAGGTACAATAGGTACAATATAAATAAAAACGATTGTTCATCGTTTGTTTTCAAAATTAGGTATACAAATGCAGTTGCATTTGTCAGGTAACCACACTGTCAACCATTCATGGATCATGATTTATCATATTTTCAGACAAGAGTATTACAATAAAATAATATTATTTGTAAACTGATGTTTTTACGATTGAAAAAAGCTAACATAAACACGCATTTTAATTATAAATTTCGATGTTTCTTTTCACAATATCACAAAGTTACACTTTATGCGGAATATTTTTTATCTCTCCGGTTTATCGAGGAGATACATTAATGGACGAGAAATAATAGATAATTATGTCTGTACATATGTATTTTGATTGTTAATGGCTATGATGCAAATGTCTTATGTGTAAAATAAAAGATACTTTTTTTCATATGTAATTTATATAACTTTTAATTACAGGTCCGTCCTTGGTTCTTGGACAAGAAGGTATTTGGTAACAAAATTTTACACAATCTTCTAGGAAAATGTCTCCATACAGATTTCTTTTAAACAAGGATACATTGGAAAGATAGTCTCTCTCTCTCTCTGTGTGTGTGTGTGTGTGTGTGTGTGTGTGTGTGTGTGTGTGTGTGTGTGTGTGTGTGAGGGTGTGTGTGTGTGTGTGTGTGTGTGTGGATAAAAAGAGTAAAACGCGTATACTAGATAAAATTAGAGTGTAAGTGGCACAGACATTTACATCATCATCAGATTGATAAATTGTAAAAATATATGTAATTGGTGCTTTTGAATTATTTCTTAGTCAATGCTAAGTCCACGTACATCGTAAGATATATCTTTTCCACGCAGATGAGAAAAGACCTTAAGTGGGCCGACTGTAGTTTTCATTGCGCAATATTTTGCGCATCATAGTAAAATAAAGCGTATTTACTGTTTCAAAGCAACTTTTTTCACTTGATTAATAAAATCAAAGAAAATTAAGAAACTACAGGTTTGATATAACTAAATTTTTAACCGATTTTGCAATTGATAGGTAGGTTGACGTGGTTATAGTGTGTTTTTGACGTTATGATAAACTGAAACTCTTAAAGAAAGGAATAATAAAAATGTTATTCAATAAAAATTAATAAACATACGCTCTTGAAATTTTAAACACAGAAAGTTGAGAATCTCTTCATTATCCTTATCATTTTTTCATATAATACCTTTGTTCCCGTCATATTTTGTAGTACGCTATAAAAAACAGTTAAATTCGTAAATTTTTGGCTTTTTGAGATGCCCCCTCTGCTAACAAGACGGTAGAATTTTGTGAGTTTCACATATAATGTACAACATAGTATTACTCATCATATATTATAGTCTGAACAAAAAGTCTATTGTAGTATTTTTGCATAATTTGATTAAAAGTGCTAAAAATGGGCACTTTCCTATATAATCCTATAGTTAATGTACCTATATTTTGAGACGGTCCCGTAAAAATACCTGGACGGTAGATTTCTCCCAAACATTGCATGAACACTAAAGTTAATATGTTATATATGGTATAAAAATGAAGAGTTTCGTTATTGTAGTTTTCACACAATAAAACCCCAATCGGCCTCCTTAAGTAATTTTCATTTCACATATATATTTAGTAATCCGGAAACAAGGGCGGTCATTCCATTGACCTATCCTATTTTCACTAGCATATAAAGAAGCACAGTCTTCAATGTTATCGAAATTATTTGGTTCATTTTCTCTCCAATTGCTAAATGTTAAGGGTTGTCCTGTGGAATTCCATAAGAATTTCCCCTCTGTCACCATATCTGTAGCACCGATCCATAGAGTGTTGTCTACAAAGGAAAGGATTGATTAATTTATTGTTGTTTAAGGTTCCTCTTGAGATTTTTTTACTCATGTCGAGACGCCACCACTTGCCGATGGAGAGCTACAAAAATAATCCCTCACAGCTCAGTTGCTTTCAGTGCATGCGAAGCATAGGTCAAATTTTACAGCTCTCCATCGGCAAGTGGTGGCGTGTCCATATAAGTAATTCTCAAGAGGGACGTTCGACAGCTAACAAACAATCAAAAACCAAGCGTCATTCTTTATTCCTCGCTAAAATATTAAACCAGCAACAGAAAAAATTCAGGAGAATTATGCCATAACAAAATTTAGAAGTGGGGTAAAACATTTTTGAATACCAAAGCATTCCTAGGAATTTTTGAAAATTTGAAATCACAAAATTTTACAAAAATCAACAATATAAAAACTTCCCAGCACAGTTAAGGCTACATTAAAGGGGCGACGTCTAATTTGTACTTAAAAATTAAACTATGTCATCATACTAAACCAATAATTCTTAAACTAGACTTGGCTGTCTGGCTGAGGAGAATAGATTTAATCAGGTTGCAGGTATTTTGTCTAGTATCTCTTACCTTCTCTCTGGTCCGGCTTAAGAATGCTCATAATGAAATTATTATCTTCTTGCGTTTCAATTTCTACTAACGTACTGCCATTTCGGGAACATTTTTGCTGTATTAATACCAAACATTAAAAAAAACTTTCGTCAAACTATTGATGCATATGAATTATAGATTTATAAAAATTTAATGCGAAACATTGAAAGTTTTTTTTTGAATTTATACCTGTGCATTCACCCATGTCAATTCATCAAATGAAACAAAATAGCCGGACTGACGAAAATATGTCCAATTTAGGCCACAGACTTTGATCAAAGAAAAAAATATGTTTAAATTGGTCATAAAATATCAGCAAGAAAATGTTTTTGCTATTTCTCATTATTAAAGCGATATGAGCTGGATTTTTGAGAATTTTATTTTGCCGGTAAAATGTGTAATTATGATTAATCTGTATGTTATCTAAACCTTATGATGAATAAAACCAAAATAAAGTGAAAAAATGTTTCATGCAGAAGAAATATTTCTGTACAACCTAATATACAGTATTATATAAGAAATCATTATTGTACAGGACGACAATAATTCAATTTTGCTTCAATCAAAGCTTATAAAAAATTCTTCCATAGCAAATATGAACAACAGAAGATTATAAACGTTTTATTTTCCTGTCATTGAAATAGTTAATTACAAATTTGAAATATTTTTTCCCGATGTCAAACATGCAGCTCATATTGCTTTAAATTATGTAATCTCCATCTTATTTTTATTACAATGACAATTAAAATTGATGTTGATAGTCATACCTCTGGATTCAAGTGCAATCAGTCTTTTGTCTATTGCCTCAATGATTTTATTTACTGATGTACTTAGGTCTTTAAATGTATTTCGTAAAGAAATTATTTCTTGTTGAACTGCTGTGCAATCTTCGTTTTTATATATGTTCTGGCAAACTCCATTGTGTGAAAACAGGCAAATGCACATTAGGTTACGTACTTGCAACCAAATGTTACAAAATATCTTAGTTTTCTCTGTAATAAAAGACAATATTTTGATTCATTAAATGTTAAAGAAAAGATATTTCTAATGCTCCTTTCATCATTTATGTATATTTTTAATTAATATCCTCGCATAGAAAACCTTTATCGATCCTTCTGAAAACAATCTTGAATACATCAAGAAAAACGAATTAACAGTTTCGTTTCATGTTCTTTCATTTAAATATTCATGCATTTTTATTTCAAAAAGTTAATATTTAAAAAAAAAACCTTTATCACCAAAATATACATGGTGTGAAGGATATTTTTCAGATGTATTGCGCTACAACATCATCAAAAGTTTTGTAAATCAGCTCTAGATTCTAAAAGCAACAGGCCCAAGGG